GCGTCGCCGTATACACGCCACCCCCACTGCATCTCATCTGGGACGCCGTCAGAGCGCGAGACGCCATGCAGACGCCATCCCCGCTGCTACTCATGTGGAATGCCGCCGCTGTACGCGTCGCCGTACAGACACCATTCCCACTGCGTCTCATCTGGGACGCCACCATGGCACGAGACGCGGTGCAGACACCGCTCCCACTGCCACTCATCTGGGATGCCGTCGAAGTACGTTTCGCCGTGCAAACGCGCTTCCAATTAGCTTTCAAACTTGGGGCGTAATCTGAGCCCGCGATGCCGTAGGGTCGGACCACTTCCCACGCATGCCGCTTAAAGCGATTACCCGCGTCGGCTTATTTAGCCCCCGACAGGCCAGACGACCCCCTGCAATTTTACGCCACGCAACGAAACTCGCCATGTCGTCGGGGCGGCCACCGCTCACAAGTCGAGGTTATCTAGCGCCAGCTGCAACAGGCTCTCTCGACGTCCGCGGGGGGCCACCCCTGGCTTTATCTCCGACCCCAGCTGCGCGGCGCGGGCTGAGAATGACCGCTCGAGGTTATCGTCAGACAGGCGCATGGCCATCTTGGCGGCCCCTTCTTTGTAGTGCTTCGACGCTCGGAAGCCGCGCCCCAGCGCCGCGGGCTCGCTCATCGACAGGTTCTCAGACTTCGCTGCAGCTTCGGCCCACCGCTCCTGTTTGCGGACTCTGGTCTCCAGCTGCTGCGACGGCCCTAGGGCGATCAGGAAAACCAGGACACTGGCGGGGCACATGGCCAGCAACGGAGCTTCGTTGACCTTCGGGTTCTCGGAGTCGAGATCGCGCAGCTTCTGCGCTTCGATCGCGCGCGCCCTCCCAGCGGCGAAGCCCGCCTTCGAAATCTCGTCGGCATCGTCGAACAGCAGCGCGCGGTTGTTCGTTCACATCGGCTGGCAGATGTTGAAGCTGTTCCCGAGGGCGGCGCGAGCGAGGACGGGCGCCGGCCGCAACGATACGTGCGCGCCCACCGGCGGGGGCCTGTCCAGCGCGACGGGGGGCAGGCCGCGGCGACAAACAGTTCTACGGTCGCCGTTGCCTGCCCTGGCAGCTGCCTCGGCGCCCCTCCGCCGTGCCGGACGACGCCGCTCAACCTGTGGCGGCTTGCGCCGCGGCGGCTACGCCCTCGGGCTGCCGCGCGCGACGCGTCGCCGCAGGCGCCTCGGCCTGGCGGGCGGCGATTGGGGGGCCCGCAGCCGGCGCTGGTGGAGCCGACGCGGCCATGTCGACGGCCCGCCCCCTGACACGCAGTCCTGGAACGGCCCACTTCTGCTGCCGCCTGCAGGGGCTGGTCGCTGAGGCGCAAGAGCATGGCGAACTCTCTTGGATGTCGCAGGCGTCGGCGCTGTCGTTGGGGAGCGCGCGCAGTGGGCGCCTCTGAGGCCAGGCTCGAACACCAAGCGGCTCGTCCGCATAACAGGCTAACTCCGAGCTGTTCACTCCCCGAGTTGTCGAGGCCTCCATGCCAAATAATGGACAGACGAAGGGCGGGTGGCTCGACGACAAGGCGGTGGAAGGGCGGACTATGTACGTGACGCTGCTTAGTGATGAAGGCGGTGGCGGCGTTCTCTCATGCAATCTTTCGCGCGCGTAGAACGCTTCGACCGTGCGCGCGCTGGTTGGCATCGACGGCCGCGCGCAATAAAGACCGGCAGATATGACCTCCACTTCCTGAAACCTCGGCCGCGCAGTGAGCGCAGGCGGCGCCTTCTGCATCGAGAAGGTCGCGAGTCCACTCGGCCGTCGGCGGCAGCAGTAGTCTCGGGCGGTGCCCAGCACGGTGGCGGGGTGGCCGCAGTCCTCGCCTGAACACTCAGCGCGCCAGGGTGGACGGCGAGGTGCTGCTCTCGAACGTCGTCGCCCGAAAACAGGGCCACCACGCTCAGCTCACCGTCGGCAGTGCGGAGGGCGCCCCGTAGATCCTCGGCCTCCGTCGCCCGCAGCAGCGCCTCGACGTCGCCGACAAACCTCGGCGCGCAAGGGTTGGCAAACACATTCACAGCCCCAGTCGGCCAAAGCGTCGCGAACTCCTCTGACCACAGCTGGCCGAAGACCGCCGCGATCTCCTGCGGCTGCTGTCGAGGAGCGCTGAACCATCGTCGGTGCTGACGCAGGCGTCGCGCGCGCCCCATGCCAGATAAGCCTCGCTAGTTGCTTGAAGCCGTCGCTTTAATGCCAGAGGCGATGTTGTTGTACTGCACCGCGCCAGCAAAAGGTACCTTGCCACGAAATAGCAACTGCGCCTGTCTCTGAAAGTCCGCGCCAATAAAGCATGGAGGCATCGAGCTTGTGTCGTGATTGTGCGTGTATACATGTTCCTGGAGTGCGCGGCGGAACTCAGGACGAACACGCCGCGACACGGAACCAGCACTGCGGGCGGACAAGACGATACTGGTACGATTAACGTCCCCGGCGCAGGTCCTCGTACTCGGACCCACGGGCTCCTCGGTCAGCGGGGACCTAGCCGTGCAAGACGCCTCGCTCGGCCAAATGGTGGTGCCGATGTCGGCCCTCATCGTGTCGGGTAGCAACGGCATTGCCAGCCACTCGCCCGTCGTCGTAAGCGAGGAGGAGGAAGAGGGAGGAGGAAGAGGAGGAGGACCAGTGTGAACCCACGACCCATCAACGATATTTATCCCACCAGCCCTCTGGGCGCAGGTGGTCTACCGGTGACTTTCGATCCTCTTCCAGAAACCCGTCTTCCCTTTCGGGGGCGGGTTTACCCTTCCCCCTGCCCCCTCCCCTGGGCCTGGACGGGGGGGGGCCGCAATCTCTTGAAGCGTCCAAGATCGGCCCCCGGGACGGCCAATTTTTGACACCTCTCACGATGTTCGTGGCGCCCGAGTGGAGGGGGCGTCGATCGGGTGCCTGCCTCCTTTGATCGATAACCTGGAAAATGGCCCCAGGAGGCGCTCCAGGGCTTCCCAGAGAGCCCCAAGAGAGCACCAAGAGGGCTCCAAGAGGGTCCCAAGAGGGCCCCCAGGAGGCCCCCGAGCGGTTTCATAGAGCCCAAGATGACCTCCAAGATGGCCCAGATAGCCCAAGCTGGTTCAAGATGGCTCCAACGCTGCTCCAAACGGCCCCAAGCCCGCTCCAAGATCGCCCAAGAGCGTTCCAAAAGAGCCCCAAGACGCGGTATGCCGGTTCCTGAAGGGGGAGCTGTATTGGAGACCCCCCCCCATCCTGTAATCGATGGCCTCCAAGATGATCCCAAGAAGCCTTCCAGGGTTACCAAGAGGGTTCCAACAGGGTCCCCCAAACTCCCCGAGAGCACCAGCAGCAACAGCCGCAATAATGCCCCGATATGGTTCTATGCGTCCTCACCCGCGTCGTTATCATCCAAGTCCTCGTCCTCGTCCTCCTCCTCCTCGTCCTCTTCCTCCTCCTCCTCCTCCTCCTCCTCCTCCTCCTCCTCCTCCTCCTCTTCGTCCTCCTCGTCCTCGTCGTCCTCGTCCTCCTCCTCCTCCTCGCCCTCTTCCCCTCGCGGCGCCCAGGGCATGCCCGAAGAGGTCTTCCGAGGCCACCCCCTTGCTCGCGCTGTTCCCCAGATGTGTCTCTTCGTCCCTTTCCCGTCAGCTCTGAAGGGCATGGTTTCTGAATGGGCTGGTGGGGATACTTCTTTAGTCAGCGGCCGCGGGCGAGCGCGCCGGCGGCGAGTCCAGTCAGAGCGGGCCGCGCAAAGACGAATTAACCTAAAGCGGTGGGCCGGAGCCTCACGCAGCACCTCGGCGGGCAGGCCGGCGAGTGGAGGGGGGCTGACTGCAACTGCCGGGAAGCTGCACTGCCAGGGTGCACGCATGCAGCGCGCTGCAAGGATGGGTTGGCAGCCAGCGTGGTCGGCTGCCAAGGTCTGCAAGCAGCAGGTGGGGATACGCGAAGCGTGAAGAATCGCAATACACCCTCCCTCCAACCTCCCTCTTCCTAGGCCCCATACAAAGATCCGTTGTCACTGAGGGAGGTGCCCCGTTGAAAGACAGTCGTTTCACAAAAGCCTGAGCTGTGCCAGAACACCGTCCCTGGGACTTGAACGCCGCGATCACCGTTACTATTTCGTCTTGACGATCCTGAATCTTGCCAGATAGCAATTCCTGGGACTTCAGCAACGCGAATCCGAATAACCATTGCGCTCTGTCATTCCGACAGCGTGCCAAAACACAATTTCTGGGACGCTAACCATGCGGATCCTTGAAACTGCTGTAAACTCTCGGTGCAACTGCACGCGGAGTTAATGCGAGAGTCACACTTAAACCGCCGTCCACCAGTGCAGCTCCTGAAACTGTTTTCGACGAGTGTGCGGGGCGCTGAAGCGATAACCACCTTTTTGACAAAAGAACCGTCCTCCATCCGTGCAACGATTGCACCCTGTGAATACGAACGCTCGTGGCGCTGAAAACAAGCTTTTGAAAGCCACCCTCCCTTCATCCGCAAAACTGCGGCATGCTGCTTGCACGACTGCGCACGGCACTGAGGCGAGTGACACGGATTGGACACGGCCCGCCCTCCACCCGTGAAGCCCTTGTAGAATGTTCAGCTCGGGGGTCACTCGTGGTGAGAAGCATCTGGCGAAGCGCCTCGCTCGCCGGAGCGACACGCCTCGGGGCGCGACAGGAAGGAGCCAGGTAGAACATGGAAGAGGAGGAGGCGAAAGGAGGGGGAGACGGGGGGGGGAGGAGGAGGAGGAGGAGGAGGAGGAGGAGGAGGAGGAGGAGGAGGAGGAGGAGCGAGGAGCGAGGAGCGAGGAGCGAGGAGGAGGAGGAGAGGATGAGGAGGAGGAGAAAGGAGGAGGAGGAGGAGTAGAAAGGAGGAGCGAGGAGGAGGAGCGAGGAGGAAGGGCCCGAGGGGACGAGGAACAGGCGGTCGAAGACGGCCACGCAAACGACGGCGATGCCGGCGACCACGGCGGCGACGTCGGCGGCGCTTCGCGGGCAGGGCTGGAGGGCAGAAGCGGCCGGGAAGGCGTGGCCCGCATAGCGCGCGAGGAAGGCGGCCGACGCGCCGGGCTCCGGGCGCCAGGTGAAGAAGTCTCTGCCGTCTGCGGTTGGCGGGGGGCTTCTCCTCCCTCCTCCTCCCCTCCTCCCCCCTTCCTCCCTTCCTTCTCCTCCCTTCTCCCTTCCTCCCTTCTCCTCCCTTCTCCTCCCTTCTCCTCCCTTCTCCTCCCTTCCTCCCTCCCTTCTCCTCCCTTCCTTCTCCTCCCTTCTCCTCCCTCCTCCTCCCTTCCCCTCCCTTCCTCCGCGTCTTCCCGTGGCCGTGACGGCTCGGGGCGTTCGGGTGCAGGCCCCAGGGGCCCGCGATGCCTCCTCGGCGATCGCGCGGCCAAGGATGTTGCCCGCAGTGTGGCGGCCCTGGCAGGCCAGGTGGTTCCACGAGTTTCTCGGGTGCCTGCCGCGCAGGCGGCCCCGAGGCCGTGGGCGGCAGCGCTGTGCCGCCTGGTCTACGCTGCCAGGCGACGTCTGCCGGCCAAGGGCGCTGACGTCTGCCTCCTGATGCTCTACCTGCGGAAGGCGCCGCAGGCTGATTCCTCAATATCGTTTTGCATACAGCACCCTCCCCGCTTCAGTTAGATTCCACCGCCCGGGGCCACTTTCGGTCTAAAAAGCCAAGACCCAGAGAGGGAATTTGGTATAGCAGATCCACGACCAGGACCCTCGCTTGCCCCCAAGGCTTTTGGGTATAGTATGCAAGCTTTCCGGGCGGACTACTGACGTTGGACGCCGCGCGCGTGGACAAGTCGTTGCAGGCGAGCCGCCAGAGCCCGCCAGGGTCCGCCACCGCTCCCCATGGCGATAATGGGCCAGGCCGCACCTGCGAGCCCATCTGCGCCGGCTTCCCGACGCCCGAGGACCCGAGGAGGCCGGCCCGATGTGCGAGGCAACTGCCACTTCCGCCGCGAGAGGCGCAGCCCAACGACCAAGCTATCCGCCCCGAGCGCCGCCGGAGAAACGAGGCTCCGCCAGCCTGGCGACCTCCACTGCAGCAGCGCTCTGCGGGTCGCTGGGCCAGAGTCGCCACGGCCACCTCTGCGAGGCGAGCTTCGCGGCGAAGCGGCACGCCAGCGTCGCGCACGAGGAGGGCCGCCGTGGCCGCCGCTCAGGGCACGGCCCGAACTCGAACACTCCGACTCCGCGTCAGTGAGCGATGGGAGCAGCGAGGACGCGAGAAACGGCATCGCTCAGAGGAGCGACGTGGGCTTCGACTCCCTCGGTGACGAGGCCATCTGGGGGGGGGGCCTGCTGCACCCCGAGGCCGCCGCGAGGCCAGACACCGATGAGCAGAGCAGTGTGGGCTTCGACCCCCTCGGTGGCGAGGCCGCGGGCGGCCTGCCCGCGCCCAGAGTCCGACGCGAGCCCCGGCAGCGGTGAGGAGGGCGATCGTGCGCTTCGACTCCTGCGGTGACGAGGCCGTGGACGGCCCGCTGCATCCCGCGCCCGACGCGCACACCGATGAGGAGGGCGGCGCGGGTGTCGACGACGGCGCCACGGAGGAGGACGAGGCCTCCCTTCGGGGAACACAAAGTGACATAGACATAAAAACTCGGAGGTCCGCGCGGATTTCTCGGATCGGCGCTGCACCCCCCTCCCTGGCGCGCGGAGGCGCTGCCGGGGGGCCCCAGCGCCGATCCGAGAAATCCGCGCGGACCTCCGAGTTTTTATGTTTATGTCACTTTTTGTTCCCCTATCCCTCTGCGACGAGGCCATGATCCGCGGCATTGGCTCCTCATCAGTCCCATTACCAGCCTCGACCGTATCCCTATCCCTAAGATTGACACGCCAAAAGGCGATGACAATCTTAGGGATTCGCCCTCAAAAATAAGGGAATCCCTAAGATTGGCATCGTGATGAGGAGGTGCCCAGTATAGGGATAGGGATATGTTCCAGGCTGGTAAGCATTGGCTCCTCCTCTTTCCCAGGTCCACGTCGTGGCTGTGCGAGCGAGCAAGTTCGCTGCAGGGCCTGACCCGTCAGATGCAGCGTGCCGCCTGCCCGCCGCGTTGACTCGGTGCTCGATGCGGGGATCACCCAACGCTCCTCCTCCTCCTCCTCCTCCTCCTCCTCCCTCCTCCTCCTCCCTCCTCCCTCCTCCTCCTCCCCCTCCTTCCTCCCCCCCCTCCTCCCTCCTCTCCCTCCTCCCCTCCCCCTCTTCCCTCCCTCCCCCCCTCCCTCCCTCGCCCCTCCCTCCCCCCCCCCCTCCTCCCTCCCTCACTCCCTCCTCCTCCCTCCCTCCGTGTCTGCAACAGACCGGCGTGTTAGCTCTCCCGCTAGCGCAGGGCTGGCCCAACAGGCGGACCAGACCCGAAGGAGGCCAAGCTGCCCTCGATCTTGTGATCACGTTCCAGCGGCCAGGGCCCGTGGATGGCCAGGCTGCCTCGCACATCCTGCGCGCCGGCGGGCTCACGCGGGCGCCTGTGGGCGCCTTGGCCTCAGGCATGCCCGGCGGCCTTGGCCTGCTTCTGGCCATGCTGCTGCCTACAACTCTCTGCCATGGCAGGCGTCCCCTGCCGGGGTGCCAAGCAAGATGGGCAGTCCTCTTCGAGGATTGGCCCAAGCCACTCTGGCGAAAGGTCACTCTTACGTCTAGTCGAAGGATGCCCGCGTCGCTGGTCTTCCCCCTCTTCCGGCCGAGGTCTGGCGTAGCCGGGGGATGACTGCGCTGTGGGCCCCCGTTATAGACGAGGGAGGACCGCGCCCCCCCGCCGCCTCCTCCTCCTCCCCCTCCTCCTCCTCCTCCTCCTCCTCCTCCTCCTCCTCCTCCTCCTCCTCCTCCTCCTCTCCCCCGCCTCCTCCTCCTCCTCCTCCTCCTCCTCCTCCTCCTCCTCCTCCTCCTCCTCCTCCTCCTCCTCCCCTCTCTTCGACCATATCCTGCCCGCCCTCGCTCATCGAGGAAATCTGAGGTGGCCGAGGATTATCAGAGGATCTCGGGCCCTCCCTCGGGCATGCTGGGGCCAACGTCCTGCCTCCTTCTCCCCCAGCACTCGTCGCCGTCCTCCTGCCTGCTCGATCCTCGAGGGCCTCAAGGCGGCAGAGGATCTCGGAAAATCTCGGGCCCTTCTCGGGCATGCTGGGGCCTACTTCCTGACTTCTCCTCCTCCTCCTCCGCCTCCTCCTCCGCATCTTCCTCCTCCTCCTCCTCCTCCACCTCTTCTTCTGCCTCCTCCTCCTCCTCCTCCTTCTCCCTCGTTGCCGTCCTCCTGCGCCTTGTGATCCCTGATCCCCCTCCTTGGTGGTGGAGGAGGAGTGGGCGGCGGGGGGGAAGGGGCGGGGAGGGGAGAGGGAGGGGGGGGAGCAGGGGCGGGCGAGAGAGCGAGGAGGACGAAAACGATGATACTGTGGTACGAGAAAAGCATACATGAAGGGGCCCCAGGACACACAAATAAAAACACACAAATAAAATGGTTTCCATATTTTCTCATATGTTCTGGGTTTTTATCTTCCCGCCCAATTCCCATATTTCCCTATATTTTCTAGGGAATCGACGAATAATTGTGTCTGTGTTTTTTCCCCTCCTGAATAAATTAAAAAAACATCCCGGGCAACTTCCAGGACAACCCGGACAACCCCTCCGAGATGGAGACCACACGTGCCCTGGCGTGTAAGTGTGGCCAACGCCTGAGCGAGAGCACCATTCCCCACCAGGGATGTGGCTGGCGCGCTGGAGAAAGCACCTTTTCAATCAGGGATGTGGCTGGCGCTCAGGCGAGAGCAACATCCAGTGCTCGGGCGACAGCTCACTTCCCAATCGAGAGTGTAGTAACCGCTCAGGCGACAGCACCACTCCCGTTCAGGGGTATGGCCGGCGCTCCAACGACAACACCATTCGCCACCTTCCCCCCGATTCCGTGGGAGTCCTGTGATTGCTCATCCTTTGGTCAGGGCATCTTTGTGCACAGAGTTACGAGGCTGTCTCAGGCAAAACTGGCTGGACAACCTCGCGCGCAGCATCTCAGAAACCATACTTTCGAGAATGTCTCAGGCGAAACTGGCTGGACAACCTCAGGTCAGGTCAGGCCATCCAAAGCTCAGAGTTGCGAAGATGTCGCAAGGGAAATTGGCCGGACGCTGAGGAATGAGGAGAAGGCTGAAGGCTGAAGGCTGAAGAATGAGGAGGCCCAAGAGAAAGCTTGGGATGGATTGCGCCTGGACAACCCCCGGACACCCCCCCGGACAATCCGGTTGACAACCCCCGGGACAATCGCCTCGAGAATCCGATGTGCGGGGGAAAGGCCTTGTCCTTGTCCTTGTATTGAGGGTCGCTGGTGGCTCTCTTATCTCGGACCAACCAAGGTCAGGCCATCTCTGAGACCAATGTTGCGAGAGCGGACCATCTCGTGGGCGGCATCTCCGAGCTCAGACTTGCAAGGATGTCGCAGGCGAAACCAGCCGAAACACCTCAGATCTGGGCATGCGTGAGCCCAGCGTTACGAGGATGTCTCAAACGAAAGTGGCAACACAACTTCCTCATTGTGAGCATGTCTCTGTGCGCTCGACCTGCGACTGGATGCAACAACAAGACTCCAGCCAGCCACGCTTCGTGGGAAACAGCGATCAATGAGGATGTGCGAGCGGGAGCGGGAGAGCGCGAGAGAGGAGGAACAAACAAGAGGGGAAGGAGGAGAGAGGCGCCCTTTCCAGCTGGGTTTGACTGGCTGTGCCATGCTTCTGATGACATGGATGATTCAGGCATGTGCGTGCGCTGGCAAGCCGGCACGGCCCAAACAACTCCTTGGAAAACCCCGCGAGGAACCGGACACCCCCGCCTGGACAACCCTCCCTGGATTCTTTTTCGGGGATGGACAGACCTCCCATTAGCAAAACGTGGTTTAGTGAAAACGATTTCGGGCCCAAACTTGACGGGCGCAGGCCTGGAAAATAACGGCCGCGGCGCCATCTCGAGAACCGAAAACGGACAATTCACTAATCGACGTGTCAGGGTAGGAGGTCTATCCACCTCCGACTTTTCCGTACGACATAGCAGTACGAGAATGAGTGCGACGAGAGAGAGGGGCGAACCGTAATGACACGAAGGGGAGAAGGTGTGGGGAAGGGAAGAGTGGGGGTAGAGGAGGAAGGGAGAGAGGCGAGGGAGAGAGGAGAGGAGACGGGCTCCCAAATCAAACAGGAAGATAGATAGGCCGAGGCTCACACGCTCCTCCCTGCCAGGTCGGGTAGATTGCGGTGTCGTCGCTAGCTGCTCTGGCTCATTTCGGGATGCGGCCGCAGTGGATGGTACAACAGCCGGGTCGGGGAGAAGCAGGGACAGTCGACCAACACACGAGTGAGGGGAAAGACAGATTGGGCGGGAAGCAAGCGGTATGCCGTACCACAACTGCCATGACCGTGCGAGGGGCAGAAATGCTGAAACCAACATCGAGAGCTACCGGTCTGGCAAGACTGATGACGCAGCGGGCAGCACAGCGTGGCAATGGATGCGGCGGAGAGCGCTCCAGCATTACACAGTTGTCCTCTCTGCGAATCCTCAGCTGGCCCATGACTTCTTCGTCCTCGAGTATGCTACGAGACAGTCTCTTCGGGCCTCGGTCGGCAACTCTCTGCTCGGCGGCGGGCGGCGGGCGAGGAGAAAAGTAAGAAGGAGAAGGCCTGCTCAGAAGGCTCGAAGGCCCCCAGACTTCTGAGAAGTTTGTTGAGCCTTCCCCGAAGAGAAACCCCTTCTCAGAAGGCGCGAAGGCTTCTGAGAAGTCCCGCCGCCTTCTGAGAAGGCCTTCTGCTTCTCCCTTCTCCCCCTCGCTCGCCGGGGGGACTTCCGATCCAAGGGATTCGCCGTGGGGGCCTTCTGAAAAGGCCTTCTCCTTCTGACTCCCCCCCGCGCTCCATCCAAGAGATTCGCGCGGACCTCCAAAAGATGTTGTTCATGGGATCTCTCTCCATCGACTCGCTCTTGCTCCGCTGCCGCGAGCTGGGGCGAAGGGGAACGAGACGGGGGAATTGGCTCCGGGGGAGGGGCGCCATTGAGCTAGAGTCGGCGATACGTCGCCGAGATATGAGCGATAGGCCTCGCTAGCGAAACCGCACGTTCCTGGACAGAGTGGGCTATCGGCGATGAATGAGCGGTTTGGCGTCGATGCGTCCCTCCCCCTCGTCTCCGTCGTGTGGGTTCTGGCTGGCTTCCAGCCCGCAACCTCGGCCACCGGCGGTCATCCAGGACGATCCGGGCATCCTCGGCACGCTCTCGGCGAGGCGCACATGCTGGAACGCACCCCGAGTCCAGAGGACCGCCGAGAACCGACGAGCAAGACCGAAAACCCCGAATGTCGATTCCGACGAATGTCGTCCACCGACGGGCCCTGAGCTTGTGAAACTCAAGCAGCGCAGCCCTGGTTTGGGGTAAGCCGCTCCCCTCGCGTCGCCCCTGAATCCACAGCGGCGCCGACTCGAAGACCGGCGACGGCGGCCAGCGGGCGGGGCGACTCCTGAGAGCCCCGCGTTTCGCGCCCACGCGCAGTCGTCGCGCATGCGCACCAGCAGCGGCATGCCTCCTGCGAGAGTTCGGGAGAGACAGAGAGAGAGGGGGGGATAGAGAGAGAGGGAGAGAGAGAGAGAGAAAGAGTGAGAGAGAGAGAGATGGAGAAAGAGGGGGAGCGATATATGCAGAAAATGCAAGGAAGAGAACAAGAGAGAGAGAGAGAGATAATGAGAGAGGGAGAGAGATAATATATATAGAGAGAGAGAGGCAACAACCCTTAGGAGACAGGGCGAGGGAGAGAGAGAGAGAGGGAGAGAGGGAGACAGGCATTGAGAGAGAAAGAGAAGAGATACTGAGAGGAAGAGGCAAAGAGAGATGGGGGAAAACGAGCGAGAGAGAGAGAGAGGAATATTAACTTATACATGCATACACAAATACATATACATCTATAAAGAAAGAGAGGGCAGGCAAACAACAAGAGCCATCGAGCGAAGGTGAAGGAGCGAGAGAGAGAGAGAAAGACAAACATATCGGTGAGGAGAGAGGGACGGCAAGAGATGAAGAAACAACTGAGCGAGGCTGCGCGAGGAGACGAGGAGGGGGAGGAGAATGAGGGGGAGGAGGTCGCGCCGCGCGCAGCCCGCGGCCCCACTGATGGGGGGGGCCGCGCCCCCGCCGTCACCCGACCCGCTCAACGCGCGGCGTGGGCCAGAGCTGCGGGCGCGGGCTCCTGGCGCAGCGTGCCCGTCAGGTCAAAGTCGACGAGGGCGGCAGGAGGCCGAACTCACTCTCAAATTCACCATATCCGCTTCCGACGTAATACGGCAACAAATACGCAGCCACAATCAAATATGCACGAACGTCTTCCATCCCAAGCGCCATATCTCAAGCACTGCTGACCGGAACTGCTTTGGACTTGACGTGCAGGCTTATCCTTTCCTGGCACCAAAGGATTGGCTTGTCAGGCTCTGGCGGGGCCGTCGGCTTCAGTTGTATCGGGGGAAAGCCCTTTGACGGGCGGCTTCCACTGCTTGCCGAACCTGACGGCCCCTTCCACGCATACCTGCCATTGCCTTCTTGCGGTGACGAGCTTGCCCAACTACCCGACGGAGCCATTCAGGGCCGCGTGGGCGTGGCCGACTACCTCCACCATCGTGTCGCTGCGCATTTCACCTGCTGGCCCCGCGACGTTCGGAAGATCGCCGCCAGCGTCCAGAAGGTTGCCTCCACCGCCTGCGTCTCGAAGATGTTCTCCACCGCCCAAAGCGCTTCCAGCGTCCTGACTATCGCCTCCAACGTCTCGTCGATCGCCTCCAGCGCCCCGAAGATCGCCGTCAGGAACCCGTAGATCTACTCCAGCGCCACGTAGATCACCCCCGGCTCCCCGACGATCACCGCCAGCGTCACGTAGATCTTCTGCGGCGTGTCGAAGAACGCCTCCCGCGTCACGCAGACCGCCTCGAACGTCCTGAAGATCGCCCCCAGCGTCTTGCGAATCTTCGTTAGCGTTCCGAAGATCGTCACGCAGATCGCCTCCAGCGTCAAATAAGATTTCCCTCAATGATGTCTGTCTGCGAATCGGCTTTTATGCCGACCGAAATGATATATTTATCTTCGCGTAGGTCTTCTGCGGCGTCCCGAAAATCGTCTCCACCGTCCCAGAGATCGGTGTCGTCGCCAGCGCCCCGAAGGTCGTCACAGAGGTCGCCTCCGCAGTCCCGAAGATCGCTTCCACTGTATCGTAAGAGGGCCTTCTGACGACCCCAAAGCGCTTCCATATCTACTCGAGCGTCTGGAAGATTACCTCCAACGCCCCGAAGATCGCCTCCATCATCCCAAGGATCGTCTCCAGCGTTCCGAAGATCGCCTCCAGCGACCCGAAGATCGCCGCCAACGTCCCGGATAATACCTCCACCTTCCCGCAGATCGTCTTCAGCGTCCTGGAGATAAGCTCCAGCGTCCCAGAGATCGCCATCAGGATCCCGTAGATCACGTCCACCGTCCTAAAGATTACCCCCAGCGGCCCGTAGCTCGCTGTCAGCGTCGCGTAGGTGTTCTGCGGCGCCCCGAGGATCGCCTCCAACGCCCCGAAGATCGCCTCCGGCGTCACGCAGAGCACCTCCAACGTCACGGGGAACTTCCGCGGCGTCCCGAGTATCGCCACAAGTGTCTCGCAGATCGCCGCATGCTTCTCGCAGACTGCCTCTAGCGCGCCGAAGATCGTATCCCGCACCGTTGGTAGCCTTCTGCGGCTCTTCCCAGCAGACGTTTGTGCCAGCTACTGGTGACGTCGGACGAGGAGGAGGAGGATTTTTCCCATCAGCGACGCAAGGCTACTCTGAGCGGGCGTGGCCTGCACGGGCACCACGAGAACGCCGAGGAAAGCCCAGAGCGCACTACGGTAAATACATGGCATCACGCACTCGTCAACGCAATACGCGGGTGAAGTTATAGCGACGCCCACCTCGTGCACAACGCATGTCGATGACAGCCCCACGGCCTGCATGACGCCGCGCAACACCAGTGGACCAGCGCAAAAGATGGACCGCCTTACCAAAGCCAAATCTACGCCGAAACCATGCGACCCGCCCAGTGTTTGCAGCCCAATGACGGTGCCGATAAACACCCGTGGGTAGAATACGACACTCAACCACCACGCAAAACAGTAGCACACTGCAGATACCCATCGGGAATGGGAACGAAGAGTACAGAACGCTTCACACTCGCAACAGCTGAACAACATACACATCCAGAGCTGTAGCGATGAAGGGATACATGAAACAACGCCCAGACATCCAACAAAAGCAAAAGCGCCCACACGGGCATGGAACAAGCTCCGCCGCGCGAGGACGCCGCCAAGAATCCTGAGCACGGAAATTCGGCAGTGCGTCTGCCTGATTTGCCCAAGCGGGCCTGGGCCAGGCTCAGCCACTCGAGGACGCCGCCAAGAACTCATATAAAAGAGCGACGCTGCTGCCAGAACCGCAAGAGCCCGCGCCGTCGTTCCAGCCGCCCAGTGCCGCGAGTCCCACAAAGGGGAAACCCATAGGCAGCGCGGCAATAACCACTGTGGAACTACAGAACGAGCCGCATGCCAATAGGCCAGCGAAAACGGACATCAACACGCACGCCCTAGGTAGCTGACCCCGGCGTTCACCGATGAGGAACAACTTCGCAAATAAGAAAGGATCCGGAGGAGACTAACAATGAGGACGTAGTAGGGCAATGCTGAAACATGGGATGTTTCGGCAAAGCGATGTAAAGCGGTTCGTGCATCAAAACGCTGTAGAGAGGACGCGGTGCAGGATCCTTGAAATACCATGCGGCAGCGGCAAGAATAGGGTGAGAAGCGTGCAAGGCAAGATAACATACCGTTCGAGTCTGCTGCTGAAGCGAGACCGTCGGTATTTGTAGAAAATCAGGCAGACAGCTACAAAAGGGCTCATACGACCGTCCTTCTCATCGACATTCGCTTAGCCGCAAAGGGATACGTTCATGTGAGATCAGCAGATCTCCGGATTGGCGGACTTCACTCCGAGCCAAAGGGTACTCCAGATTTCGTAATAAAAGGGAGGGGGTCTGGACCCTCCAAGACAAGCCATTTCAGACCCCCCCCGTGTGAGAACCCTCCAAAACACCGTCCCCAGACCCCCCCAGGCCCTCCAAAATAGCCTGGAAGAGACCCCCCCCGAAATGAGACCCCCCTCCCTTTATTACGAAACCTGGAGTACATTGACCCCCCCACGGCGCCAACCGCAAAAACGTTGTTTGTTAAACGGCGCCAGTGGTAGGAATATAGATACTCCCACAACAGCCCGTGAGAGTAGCCGAAGCAGGCTAACCTACCCCCCACCTACAACAGTGCGAGACTATGCAGGAGCACTGCTCAAGGTCCGCGAGCTGCGCGGACACAGTCCGAGAAAAACAAACAACAGCGGGGGCTCCTGTCACAACAAGCGGCAGGCCGGGCGCGTCGCCGATGCATCGGCGATGTATCGGCGCCGTCCACCCAAATCCCAGGATTCCCCAATTTGTCCGTATTTTCATGATTTTTGTCGTTCCACCCACTTCCCAAATTTCCCATCTTTTCCTTGGGATCCTCCAGAAAAGCGGGCCCCACATCGAGCCGCATCGCCGATGCATCGGCGATGCTGCGCGCTCCTCCGACCCATTCTGCTATTCTGACACCCCGAGGCGGGCGCGCTTCGACAGGGGGTGCGCCCCAGCGCTGGAACCCGCGCGAGGAGCTACGATCATTCGTGCTTCTGCCGCTTGCCATCGTTCGGACGTCCATTCCCCGTGCATCTTTTCGGATTTGCGCGTGCTTTTTGTGCCAGATGATCCAGGATGCTTCTCGACGGTCCTCGCCGAGAAGGTGCAGCTGCGGCGCCTGCGTTAGCGAATCAGGAGGAGGATGAGGAGGACGAGGAGGAGGAGGAGGAGGAGGAGGAGGGAGGAGGAGGAGGAGAGGAGGAGGAGGAGGAGGAGAGGAGGAGGAGGAGGATGAGGAGGATGTAGGAGGAGGAGGAGGAGGAGGAGGAGGAGGAGGAGGAGGAGGCAGAAGGAGGAGGAGGGGAGGCAGGAGGAAGGAGAGGAGGAGGAGGAGGAGGAGGAGGAGGAGGAGGAGGAGGAGGAGGGGGGAAGAGGAGGAGGAGGAGGAGCATCCTTACGATGCGACTTGGAGGAAGCGTCGACAGAGGCACGCATGCTATGGCACGGGCAGCCACGCGCGTCGGCGTCGCGTTTGTCGCCAAAAGCCTTCAGGAGGACACCCTCTCCTCACGCCCCCACGTCTCCTCCCCTTCCCCCCTTTGCCCTGAGAAGGACGGAGAGGGGAGGACAGAAGAGACGGAGTCTCATGCAGCACTCTCGCCGCGCCGCCCCGCAATCGCCGACGAGCTTTCCCGCGGCGGCTTGCGAGCAACACATGAGCTTCTCAACGCGCTGGGTCTTCCTCGTCTGAAGCTCGTTGCGGATGCGATCTTTATGCGCCACCGTGCCTGCACGGAACGGGCGCGTCAGAATGCTTCTCTGCTAATTACCTCTTTGGTGCTTCCTGGGCCCCATGTGCCCCTCGCACCGACGTGCCTCTGACACCAACCACTTCTGAATTTGCCCTCTGGCGCCTGGCTGCGCTGCGTTCGGCTCCCATGCGATTCTAAGATCGTCAAGAAGTGCCACGAGGACAGCCACGCCCGTCACTGGACGGACAACAAAGCCCACAAGGCGGCCCCAAGACTGCCCAAGAAGGCCTCGAGACGGTCCAAAAGGGCCTCAATATGGCCTCACTGCGGCCCCGATGCGTCCATAGAGGACGCCAAGAGGGCGCCCAAGAGGCCCTCGAGATGCAACTCATGACGATTGTCTTTGGTCTTTTCAAGAACTTGAACTAACGATAAGTCGACTACTTTTGGGCTTCTAGGCGCAAGAGAGCCGCACGACGGCCAATTATGGCCCCAAGACGGCCAAAGGTGGCATAAGGGTCACAAAGGGTCCCAAGAGGCCTCCCTGGCGCCTGGCTGCGCTGCGCTCGGCTCCCAGGCGCTGCGCACGTCCGAGCGATGCCGGGGCCGTGTCTCGTGCTTCGAATCCTGGGGCCATTGTGGGCGCCTGGGCCGAGCTCGTGCTTCGTGCTTCGTGCTTCGAACCCTGGGCCGTGCTCGTGCTTCGTGCTTCGAACCCTGGGAGGGAGAAGGGGGAGGGATGGAGGAAGGAGGCAGGAAGGAGAAAAAGGAGGGAGCGATACCCGGGCCGTGGCTCGTGCCTCGACTCCCGGGGCACGCGTGGGCGCCTGGGGAGGCAGCACCGCACGAGCGGCCAGGGCTCCTCCCACCACGGGCAGGTCGGCGCGGCCTCCCCGGAGGAGCGGCCTGGAGGAGGAGGAAGGAGGGAGGAAGGATTGAGGGAGGAGGCAGGAAGGAGGAAGGAGGAGGAAGGAGGAAAAAAGGAGGAAGGAGGAGGAAGGAGGAGGAAGAAGGAGGAAGGGTTGAGGAAGGAGGCAGGACGGAGGAACAAAGAAGGAAGGAAGGAGGAAGGGGAGAGCGCTCTGGGAAAATTATGCTAACGGAGTTCCCCACATAAAGAGATTAACGGTTTTGTGGGACCCATTTTCTTGATGCCCTCCTCGCTCAGGCGGGGCCTCCCTGGAGGGGTGGGAGGGGCACGAAACCATGTAAATAGTATGGTATTCCGATACCCTCCTCGCTCAGGCGGGGCCTCCCTGGAGGGGTGGGAGGGGCACGAAACCATGTAAATAGTATGGTATTCCGATACCCTCCTCGCTCAGGCGGGGCCTCCCTGGAGGGGTGGGAGGGGCACGAAACCATGTAAATAGTATGGTATTCCGATACCCTCCTCGCTCAGGCGGGGCCTCCCTGGAGGGGTGGGAGGGGCACGAAACCATGTAAATAGTATGGTATTCCGATACCCTCCTCGCTCAGGCGGGGCCTCCCTGGAGGGGTGGGAGGGGCACGAAACCATGTAAATAGTATGGTATTCCGATACCCTCCTCGCTCAGGCGGGGCCTCCCTGGAGGGGTGGGAGGGGCACGAAACCATGTAAATAGTATGGTATTCCGATACCCTCCTCGCTCAGGCGGGGCCTCCCTGGAGGGGTGGGAGGGGCACGAAACCATGTAAATAGTATGGTATTCCGATACCCTCCTCGCTCAGGCGGGGCCTCCCTGGAGGGGTGGGAGGGGCACGAAACCATGTAAATAGTATGGTATTCCGATACCCTCCTCGCTCAGGCGGGGCCTCCCTGGAGGGGTGGGAGGGGCACGAAACCATGTAAATAGTATGGTATTCCGATACCCTCCTCGCTCAGGCGGGGCCTCCCTGGAGGGGTGGGAGGGGCACGAAACCCGATGTAAATGTAAATAGTATGGTATTCCGATACCCTCCTCGCTCAGGCGGGGCCTCCCTGGAGGGGTGGGAGGGGCACGAAACCATGTAAATAGTATGGTATTCCGATACCCTCCTCGCTCAGGCGGGGCCTCCCTGGAGGGGTGGGAGGGGCACGAAACCATGTAAATAGTATGGTATTCCGATACCCTCCTCGCTCAGGCGGGGCCTCCCTGGAGGGGTGGGAGGGGCACGAAACCATGTAAATAGTATGGTATTCCGATACCCTCCTCGCTCAGGCGGGGCCTCCCTGGAGGGGTGGGAGGGGCACGAAACCATGTAAATAGTATGGTATTCCGATACCCTCCTCGCTCAGGCGGGGCCTCCCTGGAGGGGTGGGAGGGGCACGAAACCATGTAAATAGTATGGTATTCCGATACCCTCCTCGCTCAGGCGGGGCCTCCCTGGAGGGGTGGGAGGGGCACGAAACCATGTAAATAGTATGGTATTCCGATACCCTCCTCGCTCAGGCGGGGCCTCCCTGGAGGGGTGGGAGGGGCACGAAACCATGTAAATGTAAATAGTATGGTTTTCCGATACCCTCCTCGCTCAGGCGGGGCCTCCCTGGAGGGGTGGGAGGGGCACGAAACCATGTAAATAGTATGGTATTCCGATACCCTCCTCGCTCAGGCGGGGCCTCCCTGGAGGGGTGGGAGGGGCACGAAACCATGTAAATAGTATGGTATGGGTATGGTATGGTACGGTATGGTATGATATGGTATGGTATGGTACTGGAGGTATGGTATGGTATGGTACGGTGTGGCATTGGTGTGATATGGTATGGTATGCTATGGTACGCCATGGTATGGTATGGTACGGTATGGTATGGTATGGTATATGGTATGGTATGTATGTATGGTATGGTATGGTACGGTATGGTACGTATGGTGTGGTATGGTATGGTATGGTATGGTATGTGTGGTAGGAACTATGGTATGGTATGGTGTGTGTGGTAGGAATAATATTGTGCTGTATGGAAGATGGAGCGGGAGGTGGGTGGGAAGGAGAGGGTGTTCTGGGAAAACAAGAACCCCACTCAGGATGTGGGGAACAAGAGCTTCATTGAGGAAGCCGCCTGGAAGGATTGAGGAAGGAGGCAGGAAGGAGGAACAACGAGGGAAGGAAGGAGGAAGGGGAGAGCGCTCTGGGGAAACAGGAGCTGCATTGAGGAAGCCGCCTGGGGGCCGAGCCCCAGGTCGCAGGCCCATCATGGGGCAGCCCTGTGAGACCGCACCAGAGGTCGCTCCGGCGAAGGGTCACTCTGACGTGCAGCCGATGACTACCCACCAGACCACCCCAGCCCAACCCGAAGACCCGAAAGCTCGGGTGCGGGGGGGGGGGGGTACGGGCTCCATATATGTGCCTCCGACACTCCCCGACGCCCCCTGAGCGCAGTTTGGGGCCTTCGGGTTGGGTTGGGGAGGCTCGGCGGGTGGTGGGCCGATGCGCCGGGGATCCGCTGGCCCGGGTCAATGCAAGCCCGGGTCCGTCGGGCTGTGCAGGGTCCTACAAGGTCCTGCGAGATCCTGCAGGATCCTGCGCCAAAGCCCGCGTCGATGCACCCCTGGCCCTGTAGGATCCTGCAATATCTGGCGCCCTGTCGGACCCCGTGCCATCATGAACAGGAAGAGACCCAGTGTGAAATTTGACGCCGCCTCCCGCTGCCAACATCCTACGAACAAAAGCTGGACCGTCCAAATCTAGGACGCGCTCGTCAAAGAGCGTCGGCATATCCGCGTTCCGGTGCACTCGAGTCTTAGGTTTCCCCGACTGTCCCGAAAGAGTCAATAGAATAGGCATAAAGATAGACTGCTTGGCGCTCCGCGGGGATTTCTTGGATCCGCGCTTCCAACCCCTCCCTGGCGCGCGTGCGCGCCAGGGGCGGCGCCCGAGGCGCCGCCTGGGGGTCCCCAGGCGCCGATCCAAGATATCCGCGCGAAGCGCCAAAAGTGCATGTTCATGGCGTACTTTCGTCTTCGAATCTGGGGCCTCCCGAAGGCAGGGGCTCCTTCCGCAACCGGCATGCCGATACCGCTACTCCCCGGACCTCTCCCAGGTTGCGGTCTGACCAGGATCTCGAGGCGAATCCAGCGGTGGCGACGAGGGCCTCCCAGGAGGCCCACAGAAGGGAAAACGAGGGGAGGGTGGTGGTGTGGGTACCTCTTTTCCTCCTCAGAACCTGCGTTTCCCCGACCGTCTCAAGGCTCGCGAAGGCGGTGGCTCCAGCGTGCTCAAGCCCTCCGTTTCCTCCTCCTCCTCCTCCTCCTCCTCCTCCCGACGGCGGTGGCTCCTCCCGCCACTGGCAGGCCAGCGTGGTGCTGCAGCCCCTGCAGCGGCGCGGCGGCCAGGACGAGGAGGCCGCCGGCCCACCGGGTGCGCTTCGGCGCCCAGGCGACGGCCTCCAGCGGGAAGCGCTCGACGCCGTGCGCGCGGGCTGCCGCCTCCTGTCGGCGGCGAGCGAGGGAGGGGAAGCTTTTGGTGGGGAGGACTCGTCGGCGAGATTCGGGTTCGGGGTGCGAGGTTTTCGGGCGTTCTCGTCGGCTCTCGGCGATTTTCCAGCCTCGGGACGCTTGCCAGCAGCTGCGCCTCGCCGAGGGCGTTCCAGGGGTGCCTGGATCGTGCCGAACGCCCGCTGGAGACCCGAGGTATGACCCCCAAATCAAATTCGGCGGCACGCCCAGGGGGGGAAGTGAGAAAGAGAAGGCCTTCTCAGAAAGCGGCGGGACTCCCAGAAGCCCCCGCGCCTTCTGAGAAGTCTTCCTGCGTCTCCGGGGAAGGCTTAGAGAAAAGGCCAGGGGACCCCCGAGCCCCCTGAGAAGGTCCGCCCCTTCTCACCTCCCCTCCTCGCTCGCCGCCAATCCTCGCTCGGCGGGCACCGTCCAGCTGCTGCAAGAAGGAGCGCCGAATAGGGGAACGACGCCCCTCAAACAAAAACGCCATGAAAATAAACGTTGGCGCTCCGCGCAAATTTCTTGGATCCGCGCAGGACCCCCCTCCCTGGCGCGAGGAGCGCGCCGGAGGCGCGCCGGAGGCGCCGCCGGGGGGGCACCAGGCATCGCTCAGAGAAATCCGCGCGGAACACCTCAAATCCATGTTTATGGCGCCTTTTCGCCGATCCTCGCACGGCGGGGGCCAGCTGCGCCGTCGAATTGCTGCAAAAAGGAGCGCTGAATAAGGAACGACGCCCCTTGTCGGCACCAAAAAAGAGCACGGGTGCACGACGAGGAAGCCCAAGGGGCAACAACCACGGAATGGCCTGAGGAACAGCGGGTGCCGTTGCCGACCCCAAGGCGGTCCTTGTGACAGCGTCTTGGCCGCAGACCTACACAGCGACCCGAGTGGAGGAAACACGCAAGGCTCGAGTGCGCCGGAGCGCGGGTTTGCCGACGCTCTTTGACGGGCCCGTCCTGGATTCTGATGGTCCAGCTGTCGTGGGATGCTTGCAAGGGGAGCTCGCGTCGAATCTCGCGCTGGGTCTCGTGATGTTCCTGACGGCCCCGGCAGGCCAACCCCGAGTCCCCCGATCCCGAGGCGCACGTCTCCCAGGCAGGGGGGCGCGTGCACGGATCCGGGGCCCAGGTTCTGCTCAGCCGGGATCGGTGTGTGAAGGGGACTCCCCATGCAGGGCCCGCGCGCACAGTGGCGGACAATCCCGTCGCATCGTCGACGCATCGCCGATGAATCGGCGATGTGTCGGCGACATGGCAGTGCATCGGCGACATCGGCGTGGAGAAAGTCGGCCTCCGCATAGAACCGCATCGCCAGGAACGGTCCATAGGCAGGGGTTGGGGGGCGGTGAGAGCAAGCGGAGTGAGACTGCCCAGAAGAAGACCCAACTCGCCGCTTGCTGAAATCCGAATGCGGTCTTGCGTACTGGCACACGATTGAGACCTTGAGGAGAACAGATATCGTATTTGGAGGAAGGAATTGGGAGGATGAAGGGTATGAACAATATCATCTGGATGCAATGAACGATACCTTCGGCCGACTACGGGTAATGATATCCTCATGTCTCCTCACGGCATCCTCCCGACCCGATAAAAGGTCTCCCTGAGATCTTCGTGGGATCCTGCACTGAAGGGTCTGGAGGCGGAACATCTCTCTAAGGGAGAAGAAGAAGCACAGCCTCCCCTAAACAGGGGAGCCAGCA